CAGGTTTAAAAAATCGAATTTTAAAACCCCCTACTCGCCGCTCACCAGCAGGTGCGACCGACTGGTTGCGCGCGGCTGGGCAGGGCGGGCTTTCTCGTCATTTCCTCGTGTGGCAGGCACTCCGCGCGGCCGGGCGGCCCGAGACGACCCCACCACCACCACCTCCCCGTCCGCGAGCAAAGATTTGCAGCGGCGTGGGCGAACCGGTCATGACCGCCGCCCCGGTCCCACAGCCGCCGCGGCCCGGCGCCCCGCTCGGCCCGGTCGCGGCGGCTCGGGGCTCACCGGCTCACCGCTCGGCTGGGCCGGCCGACTCAAGCAAGAGACCGCCGGAAATCTTCTTTCTACCGCTTCTGGGGCAATAACCTGGACTCTTTTGACTGGAATATTAGAATGGCGAACTCGTTCGTGTGACGGTTCGTGTGACGTCGTGCAATCCCGCAGCTGGCTTTGGTCTTTGCGATTAAGTGTGTGGCGGCCGCGAGCCCCGCTGCGCCTCGCCCTGCGCCTCGCCCCGCCATTGGGCCGGGCTCCCCAAAGAGCGCCGAGCACGCGAATCAGCCATTCCTCCCTCTGTCCGCCAACACTTTTACTAAACTTCTGAACCGGAGCAAAGCGGCTGAAAACAGGATGGAAGTATAAGTTTGGGTCGGGGGAAATTGCGGGGCCCGAGCGAGCGAGCGAGCGACCGCGTAGCCTAGAGTGCTTTGTCCCGCTCGCACAGCTAAGTGTGATGAAAGGCACTCGCATTAAGCTTTAAGCAGAGAAGAGTTCTATTACCGCTTTAAGGCATAGTTAGTCTTTCAATTCGTACGAATTTACTTGTTTAATGTTTCTGCGGGGAAACTTAAGTAGTTTAAGTTATGTGTAGGGACGACGTCGGTGGTATACGAGGGCGTTTTCGAACAATGCACAAGCAAAATTGGTTTGCAGATCATAATTCTGCACATTATGTGTTTCGGAAATGTCGAAAGTCTGCTCTAGTAGTGAACACCACAATGTCTCTAAACTTTGCACTCTTGAACGCTTAAACTAATACATCCATCGACGTGCAAAATTAAACACTTTGTTTTACGAGTGTACGCACACATACAAATATCGCAAACACATACAAAGGTGGAGTGTTGGAGAAGAGGTGCTCCGCGGAGATAGGACCTGCGCCGTCCATCAGTTCGAATGGCCAAAACAGTGTTGCTAGGCAACAAGCCCGAATAATAAACAAGCTTCGTTGGGCCTGGGCGGCTCAGGAGGGGCGGGGCGAGTGGAGTGAAGGGCAAACTGTAGTGTAGTGTGTAGTAAAAGACAACAGGAAGCACAAAAAAACGAGCGGACAAAGTTTCTTTTTTTGTTTTTTTGGCTGTTGAGAATTTTTTTAATTCACAGTAAATAAGTTTAGACTTCTCATATTTATAAACAAGAACTCGAGTCGAGCTGCACGTCCCCACTAACTCCCATCAGTCCACATCCAAATAACAGAGCGCAACCGCAAAGAAGCGCGCTGACACGAAAGAATAAAAACATTCAACGTCGACATCAACGAAACAGAAGGAAAAGAGCACGAACTCTCAGTGAAATGGAACAAGAGTCAAAACAGACATGTACCCGCACACACATGTGCAAAATAAATAGATCTATCACTATTCGCACTAGTGAAGAAAGAACAATAAGTAGGGAAATCACAGGCATGCGCCACAGTTTGATAGAGAGTAGGAAAAAAGCAAAATAAAAGGAAGAAAGACATTCATCTCAAAACTGGTACGGATAATCGTGGTCTAAGATTACTTGTACTTTTCCAAGTTCTGACCGTTTAGTGCGAAAAAAAACTTTGACTAGAAAGGAGTGCCGCGACATAACGGCAAAAGAATGGCACGAAATGCATAATAATATCCTTATTTATTTAAAGCTATTCTTTTAGTTGAGGTAATTTCGGTAAATCAGGGAAAATAATCACGATGAGGCCACTAAGACAAAGAAATGGCGAGAAATCCCACAAGAAAACCATTCTATGGATAAAATCGATATGAGTTCCTGGTCTGCAAAGGCTGAAACATCTTGTATGGTCTTCCGAACGGTACTCTCTTTCTGGACCCATTACCTTACCAATAAATTCTTTATAACACAGCGTTTGATATGGGTTCTCATCCATACTTACAAACACCATTTCCTACAAGAATAGTCGGGAGTATTGTACTTGCAGTCCTTTCATGTTTCTCAGTTGTATTTACAATTCTACCAGAGTCATATTTACAGAGGGAAGTTTTTTGAGATTCCGAAAATAACATTAAAAATTTATTAGAGACAATATGATGCTTGGTCAGGTTGCATCTCTCCTTTCTCGTGTTTTCCAAATTAAAATTTCTTATTATTGATCAAATTCACTTTACCCTCACGTATAATCTAATATCAAAATTCACTACTAAGCACACATTTAAAAATTAAAGTAATGGTCGACATATAAGGAAGTCGAAAATTTAGAATTGACTAGTAGACGACTCCCACTTCCGATAATTTTGGAGCAATTGGGTCGCAAGATACTCGATTGATTTTCCTATCCTATAATCAATAAGATACAAAACTTAACAAGCCGAGCGATCCCAATCCGTTCATCGTGCAGCAGAACTCCAATTACAGAACTGGTCATTGACCAGCATAAACTAAACAACTACATCGATAATACTTTTTTTGTCTACAAGGTGTCGTCAATAAAGCGCTATTACAATTAGAAACATTGTTTTCTTAATCTTGCAACTTGAACTTGACGACCATCGAGCTAAGCGGTAAATATCACGTGATCCTACATTGCAGGAGTACACGAGAGCTGCTACCACCGATTAAGAAAATGGATAATGGTCTAGCATGAGACAAGAGTTTTCTTTTGGAGAAGAGCTGCACCACATGACCGCTGGGTTCACGAGCCATGAAGACTTTAGGACGGGGCTTCCGAGCGCTAACCCGTATTAACAAAAATGACTAGGTTAGGTTTACAAAACAGATCTTTTGCAACAGCAAAAGACGTGACTCTAACAGCAGAGATGGTAACAAAAGTCCCTACACACAAACAAATTCGCAAACATTTCTTAGGTATGACAATCCAATTTTGTTAAAACTAACAAGTGCACATAGGTACTTTGTTTGTAAATACGAAAAGTCTCTGAAAACAGAAAGATCTAAAATTCAGAACATTAAAGTCACCAAACTTTGTGGTCTCAAAATGAACACATTTTCAAAATAAAGGCATAATAAACTTCACCACCTCAAGTATTAGGCTTCACCCCTTTCCTAACTAAATTGCTGAGCTCTCTCTTACGATTCCATCGGTAAATAAAATCGTTTCAACACTCAGAACAATCCTACAGTCTTTAGTTTTCAGATCTCGAACGCTAGACAACATGATACAAAAATGCGTTGCACTTTTATATGGAACATGCACCCATCCAATCGTACCTTTCACTATTTATGTCAACTTGCGGGGTGTCTTTTGTCCTAGAGCAAATGAGGCTTGAAACCCAGTATATAGCTGCTTAGTCAGTTGCTTGACGACTACTTTCAGCACACTGGCAAACAAGCCATGGCCTACCTACTCTAGAACACGCGCCCAGGACAAGTATAGGACGAGTTAAGATATTCAAATTGTAAAATTATTATTATTTACTTGTGCAACAAATATCACAGAATAACACCTAAGAACGAAATATCTGCTGATAATCTGACGCGCTCTCAAAGCACACGAAGTGACTTTCTTAGCTAGTACCCAACTGGACCACAACTACTTCACAGGAGAAGATTGGTATACAACAATAGATTTGGAAGCATACATACTTCAGCTCGTATGTAACAGGTAGTACTTCAAATGGCACTCAGAATACTGAAGTATATGCAAATATACACAAACATTGTGAACATTCTACAATAAAAGGTGGTACTTATCATTACAAACCGATATTGAACTAAAAAAGTCACACAAGACAAAGTCATGATGCTGTGAAAATATATTAAATATATTTGTATTTGTAGGTAACTTTACAGGAAATTAAAACATAGCACATAAAAAAATGTACCCATATAATTTACAAAAAAGTGAATGGTGGAAAACTTGTAAAAGGGTTCCCCAAAATTTGACTAGCAGAGAGCACGCAGTACCGATACCCACTGTTACGCAAACGGAATGTTAGAAAAGACTGAGTCGAACATTGCTGTATTTAGGACATCATAAAAAAAACAGTGAGCGTCTTCTTGAAGCAGTTTTTAAACTTAATAAAACTAGCCTGCGGCATCTCTCAATCTCTCGTCCCATTTTCTAATTCACGAAAATCTAATTCATTTTAATTCGTTGATTCTAGTACAATATGTAACTCTTCCAACAACAAAAAATTACACAAACACAGAAAACAAGACTGATCACAAGGCAGTACAAAAAATAACAAGGAGGAAAACAACAAAAATCAGTCCCTTTTTAGAGCAATAAAATAAAACAACAACTATCACAAATAACGTAAAAAATCACAATATATGAGTTCACAGAACCAGATTAAACACTAATCTTCACTAAGGCGCTGGGATTCTCCCTTTTCTCATCGCTCGCCACCGGTGACAGCTGTCCAACAGAAGAAAGACAAGGAACGCTTTTAGAGACCAACCGAGCGCAAGGGACGCGTGTCCCCTGGCAAGACCAAGCCATTCGGAATCAGAATCAGACGCACCAATAATAAGCTAATGAATGTGGGCTTCGAAATGTTTAGTATGCTAGTGAGATGTGTGTAAATGTCTCCCAATCCAATGACTTTTGTTTTTTAACCATACAAACTCGCCATATGTTTTTGGAACGCAGAAAGATGCAAGATTCGCAAAAGCCCCCCCCCCCCCCCCGAAAAAAAACTCGCCGCGCAAACGTTACTGAGTCTGGCTACGAATAAATTTGCAGTCTGAAATGAGTGCACGGCTAATCTGTCGGCGAGGCGAGAGGTGGCCGTCGAGCCCGTAGAGCTGTAGCGCCGGCGCCGCGGTGGTGGCCCCCCACGGGCCCCGGCTCATGAAGCCCCACAGCGGGGCGGGCATGGGGGGCCGAGAGGAACCAACGGGCCAGCTGGGAGGGAGGGAAGGAAGGAGGGAGGGAGGGAGGGAGGAG